AACCCAGATCTGTCTTCAAACTCAGTATTCTTGAATACCTCTCTCGCTACAAACCTCTCAGAGGGTTTTGGGGTCCTCTTCTGCGCTGAAGCCCCACACCTGGAACCCGACCTCCCCCATCTCCCGCAGCAGCGCCATGAACGGTCGCACCTGGGAGTTTTGGTATGGCAGGAGACAAAGAAAAAAAAAGGCACGTAAGCGCTATTTTGGGATGTCTGGTGGTAACAAATAAGTTTTCTCAAGGGATGAAAGTTTCCTGAGAAAGTTTCTGCTTAAAGGCAAAGAATGTAAAACACAGACTGGGAAGATAAAGAGGGACAACTCCGCGGGACAACTCCCCGCTCCCCAGTGCGGCTTTCAACCACCACAACCTGGAACCCCGATAAAGAAAACTATCTTTGCACCCATATATTTACATCTTGGACCATTATCGAACACCCACAAAAAGCAAAGACAAATGGCAAATAGTAACAGCGTGTGCGCTGTGGTTACCCTCCCCTCGCCAGCAGCCCCGGTGCTCCCAGCCAGCCCCTGCGCCGGCACCGCGCCACAACCCGGCACACAGCCCTGGGTTTGGCACCTGCTGCAAACGCTAGGCTTCCCTTCGAGACACAAAGAATTGATTTTAAGCAACAAAAAAGGAAAAATAAAAAGAAAGAACATGAGTACAGGTTTTTTGAAAGCTCCCAGACACAGAGAGCGGGTCCAGAGGGGGCCATGAAAACAATCCAAGGGCTGGAGCATCCCTCCGACGGAGAAAGGCTGAGAGCGCTGGGGTTGCTCAGCCTGGGGGAGAAAAGGCTCCGGGGAGACCTCAGAGCCCCTTCCAGTGCCTAAAGGGGCTCCAGGAGAGCTGGGGAGGGACTTTTTCCAAGGGCATGGAGTGATGGGACGAGGGGGAATGGCTTCAGACTGGAAGAGGGCAGATTGAGATGAGATGTGAGGAAGAACTGTCTCCCTGTGCGGGCGGTGAGCCCCTGGGGCAGGTTGCCCCGAGAAGCTGTGGCTGCCCCATCCCTGGAGGTGGTCAAGGCCAGGTTGGACGGGGCTTGGAACAACCTGGGCTGGGGGGAGGTGGCCCTGCCCGGGGCAGGGGGTGGAACGAGATGGTCTTTAAGGTCCCTTCCAACCCAAACCATTCTGTGATCTTTCCTAAACACTCCCCCTCGTGGGAGAACACATCCAAAACATTTCTAGCTCTGCTCATTTCCTTCTCTCCAGAAATCAGTAACCATCAAATAATCCTTTGCTTTTGTTTTATCCCTTTTGAAAAGGAAAAAAAAAAAAAAAAAGACAGATTGCTTCTAGTTAATAGAAGCAAAGCCAGTTTAGATTTAATTTTAAACTGGAAACAGAGACTCCTCTATATGAAGTATTTTTCTCTTTTAAACTGACTTGGTGCAGATTGCAGACATTGCCTTGAAGCTGTTTTGGATACGACGCGTGACAGCGAGTCTTATGGAGCAATAAACAGACCCAGAAGTTGCAAGGAACAGCACAAGTGTCACATCATGGGTTAGCAATTCAAAAATTTTTGGAAGAAGAGTTGTATTAGAAGTGCTGGGCTGATGAGGATGACAAGTAACTACACAGAATAAATCCTTTATATTGAACGGAACTGCTAATTGCATTTACTGCAACTACCATCTGTAATGCTTACCATCGAACTAGCTTATTACAGAGTGAAGAGTGGGAAAGAAAAACATTACTCTTGTTCCATACTTCTGTTTTAATGGCACGGCACAGCTAAACTGGGAACTTTATCATAGGAAGACATCTCCACCTGCTTCTCATAGAAAATAAATTATTTTACAGAAGTAGATACCATTTAATGCATCTGAAAAAAAACCACCATCCCACCCACAGAGACCAAAAGAAAACCTTGCAAAATGCATCTTGCGGGACACTTCATGACAGACCCCTCCAGCAGGAGTCTAAATACACAGATTTTAGGTTTTGCCTGAAGTAGGATTTAAAAAAAAAAAAAGTCTGTGGGTTCTTTATTTATTTTGGAAACAGTACCAAGTTCTTAGTTTCCCACGCAAACATGAAGTAGCTAATTCCCTTCACATCCTGCTGGACACCTGAGGTAGCGACACAGCAATAAGCTTATATCTAATTACACTTTACAGAAGCCTCCGCAGAAAGTGCTGCTTAAGGACATCCATACTTCCCTCAAGCTAAATTCAGGGTGAGCAATGAGGGCACAAAAGCTTTTGAAATTTAAGCAAAATGTAATTGAAGCTGAGTAACTAGTTAAGAAAGTAATTTTACACACACACGCTAGAACTGACAGTTCTGCAGATGTGCAGTAACCTGTGGAAAAAAGGCATTGCTCTCCCCACCCCCCCTTTTTTTTTTTTTTTGGAGATGACTTTGGCACTGAAAGTAGGGAGATTACAAGCTCTTGTTGGCACAGCTGTGACAAGTGTCAGTATACTGTTTTTACAAAGAGAAAAATTCCCCCCGCTGTTTATAACACGTAGCTGAGCCGGAGCCCATTCAATCATTTCGTGCCTCCAGGAAAGCTTTATGGGGCTTACGATTAGAGCGGTTACAAATCCCCGAAATCTCAACAGATGTTTGCACTGAACTCCAAGGATTCCTCCCCGTTTCACCAAATACAAGCCCACAAGAGTAATTGCTGTTTGACGGCGGAACGGCTCCCCAAATCCCTCGTGAACCACTGCAGGGATAACTACTGCGCACTGAGCGGACACCACCCCCACGGGATACCCGCACAGCCTCTCGGGTGCCATGGGGCAGGAGATGGGCGGCAGCAGCCTCTGCCCCAGCGCACACATTGAGCGCCGCGGCCCTCCTGTGGCTGCACGGCAGATACTGAGCATCACTTCCACTGGGAGAAGGAGAGCCGAGCGAGAAATACCTGCCGAATTCTTCAGGGAAAGGTAAATCCACGGTCAAATCCACTGGAACTTCTCCCGTGAGCAAACATGCGAGAGCTGGCAACCCCACGGACGCTCCAGATAAGGTTAGCGAGGGGGCAGCAAAAAGAGAGAGGACAGCGGGAACCGCAGGGACGAAGGGCTGGGGGGTTCTCTCACCTTCCGCGCTGCAGGCGAGCCGTAAGAAAAAGCAGGGTGAAGGTGGCGAGATCTTGTCCACAGGAACGCTTTACCCCCAGGACAATTATAAAGCAAAGCCTGCAGAATCAGAAACATGTACTTCCAGAGGAAAAAAGCAAATATTTAGCAGGAATAGTGTCCCAGTAAAAAAAAAATACAAAACCAAAATCTATTTTGTTCCAGTCCAGTCCCTTGGTTCCAAATTCTTTTTCTGAATTTATTTCAGCTTTAATGTGTTTGTCAACAACAGAGCGGAATGACGTTTCCTTCTCTAACAGAAAGCTAAACCTAAGCTTAAAGAAAAAAGAAAATAAGAAAATGTCTGAACTCTGAAAGCAGCACTTCAGTACAAGAATCTGTTTTATTTTTACAGTGCAGCAATTGAAACAATGTAGAAATTTAACTTGCAAAACTGAATTTATAGCACAATGTCTATCAGAAGGCAATACATATGTGTTGTTTTGTTTTTAATCATAAAATATTTCTCTGGACACCAGAAATTACAAACTCTTAACACTATACACCACTTTATTTTAGAGACTAATCATCATAATTTAAATCTATCTTATAAACAATTTCTTTTAAAAAACATATGGAAGATAAAAAGAACTCAAGTATTAAACTCAAGGCCTTGATTATTATTATTTTCTTTTCTCTTTTAAACAAAGATAGTTTAAGAAATGTATCAAAATGATAACTCTGTGGGTATTATAGCTACTAGTCAGGCTCTGTAACACACTGCTCCACAATTTCACGCAAGTTTGGATTCTCCATCGCAGCTGCTACTCTCTCTTTGTCATTGATTTGCTTGTTGACTGCAAAACATCACACGAAAAGTAATGTCAGAAGCAGTTTTCAGCGGTACTTTACACATACTGCATCAGTAACGTGACAAAGGCCAGATATCAGACTGCAGTGATGATTTTCCAAACCCAGCGAGTGCCCAGCTCAGACTGAGAAAATGCTGCTGTACAGTAACAGCACATTGTGTCAGCTTTCTTTTAATCAGAACCCAAGCATTTTCGTGACTTTTCTGAACGCAAGACGCTCTAATGACATGTCTTAAAATCAAGTGTGAAATTCATGACAAATCAGTAGTCCAAGTTTTCCAGGTTCCATTCCTAGTCATTCAAAGAAAGAAAAGAACCGGTTTTTCCCATACAAAGCTATCCAATGCTGAAGAACAAAAAAGCCTGGGACGCTGCCTGGACAAAGGCTTTAACAGCTGTTTAAGACAGTGATTTGCTATAGCTTTGAAAGAATTTCAATGTCCCGTAAAATTTATTTTAAACATTGACTGAGGAACATATATTTTTGTTACGATGGTGTTAAGATAGCGAGATCAACCAGGCAGGAGGTTCTTCATGTTAGTTATTCAGCCGCACAGTAGCAACTTCTTTTGTTATAAACACAACTCAATACCTGCAAGAACTGTGGGGTTGGTTTGTTTAAAAAACCCCACAACCCAACAACAAGAAGCAGACGTTCACGGTACCAATGCAGCTTTTGAAACAGCCTCAGCCACATGTTTCATTTTAAAGCTTTACCAATGTATTCATTTCTGAAAAGGACTTCTCAAAGACCACAACCACAGTCTCACTCATTCATAAACTCTACTTACTGTCTTCTTCAGTGGAATGTGTACCTTCGGATATGTAGATTTCCAGCTGGAGAAGAGATGGTGAATGTTAGATGCACACATTAACAGTTAAATATTTCCATTACTGGAAGAAAAAAATTGTGCAATACACATACAACGCATGTAATTCATACTTTTAAAACTGTTCACAAACAACAGAAATCAATGACAAGAGCTGATCTTAGACTTCACTGCAACACAATCACAAGACAATCTCTTCCCCCATTTCCGAGAGGCCCCAATCATCTTTCTTCAAAACTGTGGAGGCATTCATTCCTCAGCGACATCAGCTGCTCTTGTGACAAGGTACTTGCCGTTAGGCAACTGGGAAAAGAGCGGAGAATCGGCACTGCTTTCCCAACAAGTTCTCTGCAGGCCACAAACCAGGAACAATTTGGTTAACAGCCACCAAAATTGCAAGTGCCACTTTCGCAAGCTAAGCGCTTCCTTGGGAAGAGATTCCTAATAAGGTACTCCTAATCAGTCTTGCTCAATAATGAGAAACACAACTATTCTATTTGAAAACGGTAGCGTAATGCAGTATCCATTTCCTGCATGGGAACAGACTATAAGACTAGAATCTAACCAGACCTAAATCACATTTAACAGGCCTGGGAAAAACAACAACCCTCCCCCCCCGCTAAACTGCAGGGAGATCTCATAAAACTGATGTACCAAAGGAAAACCAAGTAAACAAATCCTACGCTTTTTACCTTATCTCACTGAAGCTAAACCTATTTGTTACCATGTGCCCAGCATAGCAAATCCCTGTCTATGTAATTTTCTAGAAATACGAGTCTCACTTTACACTGTTTAATTGGAAAGATGAAGCTAGCGACTAGAAAAACAAAATAACCACAGCAAAAAAAATCAATACCAGAAATCCTAAGCTAATGAATTTATAAATGAAATTATTTCAGGCAGGTTTCCAAAGGTCTAGAAAAGTCTATGTTTGTCATTGAGGATCCGCTCTTAGTTCCTGGTGGGACCAAAACAGTTTTAAGGATATATTAACCCTTCATTTCCTCTATAGTTTCTTACACTCCAGCAGCATAGCCAGGGCTGGCCCCCGCTAGGGACAGCATATTGACCAGGTCAGGCCCCTGTGCCATCTACACAAGAGTTCCTAAGACACAGGTCATAGAGAGATTCCCTCAACGCAGTTCCAGTTTTGAATTCTGCAGTTCTTCTAAACTCTAATGAACCTGTTCTGAAGATTTCCTTCCTAGGTGACGCCTACATAAAGTAGTGGAACTCTCCTTAACCGGTTTCTAGCTGGAAACAGGGTAGCTCTCTTGCTTTCAGGGCTCACTCACAGAGCGTTGGTCCACTGGAGAGAACTCTCAGATATCCCAAACGGTACAGCGGAGTCAGTAACTATTAATATTTTACATTTATGATACTTAGGTATATTGAAATATTGCAGAAGGCCAAATTTGTTTTCACCAAGGCAAAAGTATGACTTGGATGCCTTGTAACATTGGATTTGAAAACACCCTCTCCTCCACCAAGCAAGAACCCAAATGACAGCTGGCGAGGAAATCCCGTGAAACACAGTGTATTTCAGAACGGCAGCAATAAATGGTCTTTAGTAAAGCAAAGGAAGAGCCACAGCTATTCACAGATCCCTTCAGGTGCTACACTACTGCAACACTCCCTCCCTCCATAGGCAAACAGCAAGCTTTAAGAAGACCCCAGTCCTAATCACGGCTTGCAAATTACTTGATCCTGCAGTATACGCTCTCTTACAGAGAACTTGGCATACATTCACGTCGTTTAAAGTAAGTTCTAGAACAGATACTTTACCTTATGTCTAAAAGGCAAACATCTCTGAAGTTTTATTCTTAAACAAAGGCCTGTTTAAACAAAAGAGAGAAGAGATTTTCTAATAAAATTCAAGGTTTGAGGTGCATTTTCAGAGAATCCACATTTAACAATCAAAAAACACCAGCAAAATTGACAACCTTCTCCTTCTGTATTCTGAGCAGCAGAAGCCAGAGGAGACTAAATAACTCGTGGTTTGGCCCTTTGGACATAGCTTCTCAGTTAAGCCCACACCTGCCTTACAAGCGTAGGACGTCTCTGGTCTCTACACACCTCCTAGAAACGCTAAATACCGACAAAGTTCTCCACTTCCAGCTTTCTTCTATTTTTTTGATAGAGCTTCCCAGCTCTCACTGTGGCTGCACCCGTACTGAGAAGAACGCTTGGTTTGTTTTCTAACACTTATTAAAAAAATCCAACATAAATCGCTTGAAGACCACAAGCCTCCAATGACTCAGGGGCAATTCAAGCTCATAATGTCCCTATTTAACACCTAACGTACAGAGGAGTGCTGTGGTTCACCTTTGGGAGCGAGACCCAAGTTTGGGGACACCTCTGCCACGAGTCCATTACAGTTTCCCCACAGGGCCTGGCAGCCCCAGTTTGTCCTCAGGCTGAGCCAGTGGCAACAGCAAACATTCCCAAAAAGAACTACCAGCTTAGAGTACTCCGTACAGATAAGGAATTTTGGAAAAAAAACGACCAAACCTGTTTACTGCCTACGTTCTTACATATACTACCCAATTATTTAAAACAGTTACCATAACCCTTCCCTGTAACAGCACGAGGAACTGTGCTCCAGGGGTCACGCAATACGGATAACGACTGCAACATCAAGCAGACATCAAAGACCTGATTGACATTTAAGTGCTGAGAACGTGATTTGCATGAAATTTAAGATTTGACATGTACATCACCGATGCTCAGGTCTGAGCCTTAACCCACTCACATTCCTAACAGGGTCAAACTGCAAATAAGTTATTACTCTTTGGCATGCTAATGCTTTACTACCTAGAATTTACTCTCTGCGTAAAGCTGCAAGAGTTTATTTGGGCATAAATACATGTACTTCTTCATTAAACTAAAGACTTATTTTCCCTTATATATTTAAAATACACTTAGAAATCTTAGTATTGATATATAACGGTAAGAGTTGCTAACCTTGGCACGTTGAAACAAATCATTTCAGAGATCTCAGATGTGGCTTTTCAGATTTGATCTCGCCACAAATAATAAGGAAGAAAAAAAGCAAAATAAGCAGTGTACATTCTCATTCAACTTAATTGCTTTCAAATTCCTAACAGTCCAGATTTTTTTTTTTTTTTTTTTTTTTTTTTAAAATCTTGGATTGCATGTGGGGTTCTTTGCACGTGTGGCAATGGAGAACAGCCCACAAGGTAAGGGAAAGATAAGGGAAACAATTACAAAGTTTTACCTTATTTTTTTTTTTATTTAATACCTGACAAATTTTCAATTTAACTTTACTAAAATAATTTGGAGAATATAAAGAAGGAATTCCATATTACTTCCCAGTAGATTTTTGAGAGCTTGTCTTTGAAGTTTCCCTAACTTGATAAAAACAGATGGATGTCCCCACATTTCTTTTGGCTTTTGTTTGTTTGCATCACTAGTAGGGTTCTTAAGACGAAATTCCTGGTCAAACTGCTGGCAAAGCCATACTGAACTTTAACAAAGACTGATGTTATTCAGACAACTTAAAATTAACTTTACGCTCATTGTTACAGATTTAAGGAGACAGAAATCTTACCAATGAGAGTAGCCAAAGAGCAATGAGGTACTGTTGGTGTAAACCTGATGATAACCAGATACTCATCTTCACCTATCTCTTGCACTTCAACACAGCTTTCCGTTACCACTTCCAGTTCTTCTAAAGTATTAGGCTTCTCCGGGTCTCGGATAGTACGGATTATATCTAAAAGAGAAGACAAGCGACCGACAATAAAGCAGCTTTCCTGAATTTAATAAAAGGTAATTTTATTAGACACCATCTTCCCAGCATTGTTTGTTTTGCTCCTCTTCAGAAAAGACAGAGCTGTAAACATCAGTGACACATTACGTCGTGAGTTGCTTCAGAACTGGGCAAATGGAGGCGTTTGTTGTTCACTGTACACATATTTTTCACATTCCAGTTCTCAACTTGCTATCATTTTTACAGTCCCATTATAATAAATAGAAATCAAAGCATGCCTATTACAGGATATGTATTACCTTCAGAACTACAGGTCATATAGTATTAGCCTATCTAAAAGATACAGATAGAGACAGTATTTCAGAGAGGTTTGCTGGCCTTTCAGCTTTTTCAAAATCTAACTTAAGACAAGTCAGATTTCCTTCTCATCTTCTCTCCACTTCCCAGGCTGGGCCTCACAGGTAAGATTTTTGAAGACATCTTAAGGAAAGCCAGTACAAAAATGATGCACTAATTCATATTTATCTATATCAGTGGTGACTTCCTCAGCTTGTAAAATGTGGGGATCAACTAGGTTTAATATACCTGTATAGAAATGACAAGCAGCAATGCCTTTAGAGAAGCAATGTGTTCTGGATTAGCTTAATTCTGTTTCATCGTACAATGATACGGAAGTACATTTATTGTTGCTTTTCCATAGAGCAAAAGATTTTAAAGTAATATTCAATAAAAGCTACAATATTTGATTATAGGACACCAAAAAATAATGCACAAGAGAGTACATGAATTCAGTAAATTACCTAAGAGCCCGAAAAAATAAGTCTCTGCATTTCAATGCGTTTGCTGAGTAATGCAGCATAGAAGGCAAGGCCGTGAGACCTCTCGCCTATTCACATCTGTGCCGTGTACACGGCACAACTTGAAGAGATAGCAATTTTGACAGTGGAAGCCAAACCTCGGAAGTTCCCAGCTGTCACCTCTCACTCTCTTCTGCCTTGTATACAGCTGTTTCCCCTTTGCCAGTACGGGTACGAGCATGTCTGGTACAAAAAAGTTAACTAAAGGGATACAGGTTAAGATCAGTTTAAAAAAACAGGTGGAAAAAAAAAGAAAGGGAAGATATTTTTAGCTAGCTGAAGTGATTTTCTTTTTAGTCTAGCCCTACCAATAGCTCTACTACAGCAGCTAACTGTATTGCGAAAGCAAAATGACACCAGCCTTCAGGATGGCAAGTTACTTCAGTCTATATCTTCAGGTACAGACAGACCCACCCAGCTCTCAACTGGGGAGCTGCAAAGCTGCTTTCAGTGCGTTCCTGCCACGAAGCTGATGGGCCCAGCCTCTCAGCAGGGATCATGGGCGTAGTACAACTCGGCACTAATACTGCTATATTATTGCCAGGCAGGAAGGAAGCAGGCAGCCAGCGGGCAGGAACGGTAGTTCATGTCTGTCTGGACTCCATCCGTGCAGGCATACCCTAAAGTCTCTCACCTGTGAGGGAGGAAAAGACTTATATTTGTACAGTTGTACAAGCTTTCACTCCTGGTGCTCACCTCACCTTCTCCGAAGCTCTCGCCCTCCTACTTGAATTGCTCTCGAAACCTAGGTAACCCTTTCAGCACGGCTGGGAAGCACTTGCTGTCCAAAGTAAGGTGTCATCAATCATACCATAAAACAAAATTTGGGATGAATGAGAGAACTGAGCCCCATTCTCTAATTTCCAGGGAAGCAGATAATTGCTCGAACCATTCTGAAGCCCCCAGCCTGTTCCTCTATCCAAATCATAAGGATGCGATGCTGCTGAACTGCAAACTTAGAAGGCACAGTAAATGCCACAACGCTATTTGTTCCACGTTCCCAAAGAATTGATAAACGTCCCCTCAATTACATTAAGAATCATGATGGTAAAAAGCAAACAAGCTGTCTAGCTTTCTTAGAATGTTTTCGAGCAAACAGATTAATAGCCTCAGTTGTCAGATGGCTAAAAGGTATTTTTACCCTTTTTTCCATTGTTCTGCCTCTAGTATCACTTCTCGCTTGAAGTTTTAGACAACTGCGTAAGTCTAGCCAAACAAACCACCCCAATGAAAACAGAAAGGCTACTTAAAGAAAAAGTTTTTGATCCTGCAACATCTAACCCCACTTGATTTTAAGCGGGGGAATTCTCACTGGAATGACTTGTGGTGTTTTATCCATAAGAATAGAATAGTTCAGCTGGAAGAGACCTACAATGATCATCTAGTCCAAGTGAAACGACTTCATATACACATACAACAGAATTATCTTCATTATCTCATTTCCTTGTAATTTCTGATACATTTCTTCCTCTATTTTTAAATTTTATCCTCTTTCTATGTGAAAAGGCACACATAAAGAAGAAATTAGTTACGTCACCAAGCAGTGAGAGGAACAGTAAAGCTGATTTAGTTCAGCAGTACTTCATGGATGTCTCTGGTCTTTTAAATCTAAATTTTACACAGACAGATGCTTTAGTTCCGCAAAGATCCTGCACAAGCATAACCCTACAGATGAACTGAAATCAAGAGGACTACTTACATGCCTAAGGTTCGTAACCTAACTTACTACTTACAAGCACTAACGTTTTAAAGTACCTATGCTTAAAACAACACTCAAGTTTTAAAATTGAGTTTGTTTTACATTGTTTTCCTCTTTTATTCTTTTTCTATGAAACTGTACAGTGCTGCACAAGATCCTCACGCTACTCCTGACTGCCTACAAAATAGCAGCGCCTTGAAGCTTGGCAGCGTTTTGGGAATCCTCTAAGATCCTTCGTGCAGCACTTCCAGAGCTGAAATCTCTCCATATTTTACAAAAACCTCAGTGATTCAGTACCAGAAATCTCCCTTTTGCTGGACTGCCCGGCTGACCTTTCCGGAACGACTTGCCTTTCCAGGTGTGTCCAGCTCCTCTCCCGCCTAAGGTGATGAAACACGACGGTACCTCCGCCGGCGCGGGGGCTGAGCGACCCCAGCAGCGCCCCGGCCCCTTCCCTCCCGCTGGGAGCTGGGAAGCGGCAGGAGCACCCACCCCTCCAG